CCACACGACCACACACACACGACCACTCCATTAACCACCACACACCACCACCCACAACCACCACACAAACCACCATACAATCACTACACACAACCACCACATCGACTACACACACGACTACCACTCAACCACCACACACTACTACCACCACTACTTTCACACCAATACACCACACACGACCACTCTCATAATAACTCCACTACACATCAACTACTCATAATAATAACTACCATTAATCACTTCATTATCGACTACACACGACTACCCACAACCACTTACACACTACCACCCACAACTACTCACTACACAATCAATACACCATTAATAATAACTACCACACGACCACACACTGACGACTCACTCACTCAACTACCATACACATAAATCCCACAACTAATCTACACATAACTACCACACATAACCACACAACTACCCACAACAACTACCATACACAAACTACCCATACGACTACCCACAACTACTCACACACAACCACACACACTACTCACGACTAACCACTACTACATAACCACCACACGACTACTCCACAACCATAACACATTTAACCACATTATCGACTACTCCACAACTACTCACACAACTTACTACACAATGACTAACACAACCACTACATTAATAACACACATACCACCACACAACACACACAACCACATTACGACTACTCACACAACTACTCACACACAACCACACATCGACTACTCATACAACAACCACCACATAACCACACACGACTACTCCACAACCATAACAATACAACCACACATCGACTACTCCACAACCACTACTAATAACACCACATACTACTAACACGACTAACCACATTAATAACTAATACCATAATAAACTAATAATACATGACCACTCCACAACTAAACATTAACAACAACATGGCCACCATTACAATCACTAAATAACCACACACGACTACACCACATAATACAACCATATACACGACCACTAATATCGACTACTCACAATAACCACACACGACTACCCACAACCACAACACACAACCACATTAATGACTACCCACAACTACTACACATTATAACCACTACACAACTAACCACAACCACTACACAAACCACTACATACAACCACTACACATTACTAACCACACATCGACTACCCACAACTAAAACACAACAAATAATATGGCTACCACCTAATAACTCACTCACACAATAACCACACACGACCACCCACAACCACTCACACACTACCACCCACACAACAACACACAACAACCACACACTACCACAACACAACCAATTTCACTACAACCACACACGACTACCCACAACCACACGACCACCACCACAACCAGCACACGACCACCCACAACCTTCCTCACAACCACCACTTTACATCCACTACACAACCACCATACACAATCTCACACAACCACCACACAACCATCACACAACCACCACCACACAACCACCTCACACAACCACCAACTTAACTACTCCACAACCACCACACAACCACAACTTAACTACCACACAACCACCACACAACCACACAACAACTACAACCACAACTTAACTACCACACAATCTCCACACCACCCACACCACCACACATCCACTACACAACCACCATACAACCACCACACAACCACCACACACAACCACCATCACACAACCACCACACAACCACCACAACCACAACCACAACTTAACTACCCACAACCACCACACAACCACCTCACACAACAACCACAACTTAACTACCACCAACCACTACACAAACCACCTCACAACCACAACTTAACTACCCACAACCTCCTCACAACCACCATACATCCACTACACAACCACCATACAATCTCACACAACCACCTCACAACCATCACACAACCACCACACAACCACCTCACAACCACAACTTAACTACCCACAACCACTACACAACCACCTCACAACCACAACTTAACTACCCACAACCACCACACAACCACCTCACAACCACAACTTAACTACCCACAACCTCCTCACAACCACCACACAACCACTACACACCACCACACCACACACCACCACAACCACCTCACAACCAACAACCACACACACTACCACCACAACCACCTCACAACAACAACTTAACTACCACCCACAACCACCACACAACCACCACACAACCACAACCAGCTACTCCACAACACAACCACCACACAACCACCATCACAACCACAACTTAACTACACCACAACCACCACACACAACCACCTCACAACCACAACTTAACTACCCACAACCACCACACAACCACCACACAACCACCACACAACCACCACAACCACCACCTCACACCACCACACAACCACCACACAACCACCACACAACCACCACACAACCACCACACAACCACCACACAACCACCACACAACCACCACACAACCACCACACAACCACCTCACAACCACAACTTAACTACCCACAACCACTACACAACCACCTCACAACCACAACTTAACTACCCACAACCACCTCACAACCACCATACATCCACCATACAATCTCACACAACCACCACACAACCACCTCACAACCATCACACAACCACCCACAACCACCACACAACCACCACACATTTAGTACAGGAGACACCACATGAATGCAGCCTGTCAGTTACTATTGTCCCTATGCATAGAACTCCTAGGCTGACAGTGCATGCAACTCTGCAATTAAAATGATATTTTAGAGTGCTGTTTGCCGTACCAAACACATTCAGTTTCGGTAGAAACTTTATGAGGAATATAGAGTTTATTCTACACGTTCATATTTTATAGAAAACATAAAACCGAAAAATATGTGATCCCCGTGTTAGCTTTAGCCTGGAAATAGAACAGCAAATACACTTCATATCTCCCTGGTTGATCGTGTCGTCAGAGGTGTGTGCAACAATTACCTACTCGTATTGTCGTTCAACGTTGTCATGGGAGATGAAAGCACTCGCCTGGAATGAGGGTCGCTAAGTCAAAGAGTGAGGGACCGGACGACCGTAACTCCTAACAGTCAACATGCACTGGCGCCCAGTCATACAATGATTAACACAACCCCAGGCTCTATACTCACATAGGTTTACTTCGTCTCGACACAAGTCAGGATAGCCTCGTCCCGGAGTGGGAAAACTGAGCAATAGCCTGGGTCAATGTAAAGCCCGCACCACTCTGCTAGTTGAAGGTATCTTAAGGTGTTATCCGACCCTGAACTCCTGTTGATCGTTATTCAGCCCCGCCTTGTTGACTTGTCCTTTCCTCATCAACGCGATCTGTCTTTGGTGTCAACTTCAACAGATTCGACAGCATCGAAACAATCCCTAACCTAACAGGTTTCTACCAAGCTAACAATTTCACGTTGTCACAACGTTATGCTTTCGTGATTACAATGTTATTCTGTGGACTCCCATCTACGTTGTCACAACGTTGTGGCCTGACGCTGTGATACGCCATTTGTACGTCGCACAAGGTTAATGTATTTAACGTATTTTACGTTGTCCTAACGTTCTATTTAACTTTAATTGTTGGAGCGCAATACTGCAGTGGTAAAGCGTATGCCTATCACGCTAAAGGCCCGGGTTCGATCCCCGGTGGAGGCACCTAGGTTCGGGTCCCGAGGTGGGCACACTTGCGTAGTATCCTTGGACAAGATACTTAGATCCACATTGTGTCAGTTCACCAAGCTGTAAAATGGGTACCCGTAAGGATGTGCTGGCAATGTGAGTGTTAGTTCATTGCGCCTAACAGGCAGCATGGCTGTATGATCCCCAGGGAGTTGAAAAGTATTGGAAAGTACGATAGTGACCGGGGATAGTAATGTACGTAGCGCCGTGAGCAGGCAATGTGCCTGGATATGAGCGCCATATAAGCGGACTATTACAATCACTAATAGTTCTCCCAGTAGTGAACAGTACATAAGAACAAAGCAGAAATTCACTTCAATGTTTATTGGTCAATTTGCACGTTGTTTTGGTCGTGTGTTTTTTAAGCTGTAGCTGAATAGTGAAGAAAGAGTCTGAAAGTGAAAGGTTTTACAGAAACCTCTATCGTGACAAGTTATAGGAACAGATAAGGGCAGTACTCAAAATTCGCGTATCGTTCCTTCTTGTTATAAAACTGCTCGAAAAGTGTAACATATTTGGCTTTAATGGTTATAACACCAGACTCTTCGTTTGAACAGAGACTTGCTCGGGCCGTCTTCATTTTCACAAGCTGTTCCGAATGAAGTCCTGTGTGGTTGTGTTCGTGGGGGTGGGCGTTGTTATAACGTTGTGAGGATCCCCAAAGCATAACGTTTCCTTAACGTAAATTTGCAACGTTGTTATTACGTTGTGACATAATGTTATACAATGACTTAATACTAACGTGACAACGTTGTGCCATGACGTTACCAATCTACAGAGGGGCATCGCTACTCCATGATGCTTGTCTTAACACCAAGAACTACCGTAACGTTCAAGCCGGCATCACGGCAAGCGTCAGGTTAAAAGATGACTTTCTTACAATTTTCTAAGGTTTTGGGGATGCCGTTTTTACTTATAACAATACCAGGTTCTAAATTCAAATTAAACAAGTAATTTAACTCAGTCTTTGTTCATTTAAAAAAATAGTTAAAGATTAATTTGTTTCTGTTTTGAACTTATTTGTTTGTAACTAGTTTCGCGTCTGAAGTATGCCTGTAGCTCACTAACAGTTCCTTAACAAAGGATGCATCTTTCTAAGATGTAATATCACATTACAGAACTCATTAGGCCTCGAGCCTTTGTCTGGAGGTGGCGTTTCGTTTCTCTGACACTTGGCTTGAGGACTTCAATCAGTATTATCGTATCTAAAAATATATATACCTACAAGCAAACTATGAAGCTAAATAAAAACGCAAAGTGAGCATAGACCAGTTTTGAATTTCAGAGCTGAGAAAATATAGACTTGCCCAGTCATTCTAAACTGCATAGGGCCTACTTGAACCCGATATCATTTAATACCCAGCTGATCCGACCAGAGCAGATCCCGGCACAACAGATCCACACTCAGTGGACCCCAAGACAGCTGATCCTGCAGCACAAGATCGTGGCACGCTGAATTCTGGCCCAGCGGGTCCATGGGCAGGGGATCCAGACACAAGGTGTCCCGAAATAGCTGATCCTGTCACAGCGGATCCAAACACAGGGTGTCCCGAAATAGCTGATCCTGTTACAGCGGATCCTGTCACAGCGGATCCAAACACAGGGTGTCCCGAACCAGCTGATCCTGTTACAGCGGATCCAAACACAGGGTGTCCCGAAACAGCTGATCCTGTCACAGCGGATCCAAACACAGGGTTTCCAGACACAAGGTGTCCCGAAACAGCTGATCCTGTCGCAGCGGATCCAAACACAGGGTGTCCCGAACTAGCTGATCCTGTTACAGCGGATCCTGTCACAGCGGATCCAGACACAAGGTGTCCCGAAACAGCTGATCCTGTCGCAGCGGATCCAGACACAAGGTGTCCCGAAACAGCTGATCCTGTTACAGCGGATCCAAACACAGGGTGTCCCGAAACAGCTGATCCTGTTACAGCGGATCCAAACACAAGGTGTCCCGAAACAGCTGATCCTGTCACAGCGGATCCAAACACAGGGTGTCCCGAAACAGCTGATCCTGTTACAGCGGATCCAAACACAAGGTGTCCCGAAACAGCTGATCCTGTCACAGCGGATCCTGTCACAGCGGATCCAGACACAGGGTGTCCAAAACAGCTGATCCTGTTACAGCGGATCCAAACACAGGGTGTCCCGAAACAGCTGATCCTGTCACAGCGGATCCAGACACAGGGTGTCCAAAACAGCTGATCCTGTCACAGCAAATCCAGACACAGGGTGTCCCGAAACAGCTGACCCTGACACAGCGGATCCTGTCACAACGGATCCTGTCACAGGGGATCCAGGCACAGTGTGTCCCGAAACAGCGGATCCATTAACAGCGGATCCTGTCACAGCGGATATTGAAACGTGAGATAAAGTTTCTCATTCTGAAGAGGGGATCGAATATGTTTGCAGTGCCCTTGACAGTGAAACTAGTGGAAATCCATGTATGTAAGCGTTTGTTATCATGCCTGTGTGAGTGAGTCATTATTTGTTTGAAAGGTAATGAACGTCGGCAATATTTCAATCATATCGTGCCCAACATGTCTGGACTGACTAGCAACATGGCGGCTGTACATACCGGGCCCTGAAACACCACGTCCGGGACCACTGTGTTTCAGTGAATTGTTCTTGTATACGAGCTGCCCAATAGGAACCTTGTGTCAAGTCCACACCCACACCTGACAACGCGTGTTGGGAACCGCGGGCCATGTACACGTGAGGAGGTAGCAGAACACCCTGTCATAGCATGCACAATGTTATACAGCGACATGTGGCCAAGTCAAGTATGGAACACACGTGAGTATATGTGTACATTTTGGTTGTGGTTGTGGACGCTGGGCGAGTGTTTGTGACACTAGTTGTGTGACGATCCAGACATGAGCTAACTGTCGCAACGTTACCGCAAGCCTTTGTAGTTAACCCTTGACATCCCACGGATACTGATATGAAACAGAATCGAATCCCACAAGCAAATATCACAAGTTGTGTACTTCTAGTGATGTAGTTTTTACACTAATATCCTTGCCCGAGACCCAGGTGTTCCGCTCTGACGTCTGACCGAGCAGGCGCTCATGATTGCCTCCAGCAGTGAACGGGTTAACGCCATTCGCTGTCTGCTAAAAATATCGGCTTACACCTGGCGGGAGTTGTTGATTCGACTGTCATTGACTGGAGTTTTGTCAGCCATTATATACCTACTGTATTTAAGTAGACACGAAGGTCAAGGTCGCTTTGACAAGTGGCCAGCATTGTAAATTGTTATTAAGTAGGCAGTGTCGGTGGAAGTTGTCCTCTAGTTAGTCCCTGGGTAGTCCACCGCAAGTGTCAGAAATCAAATTGTGTTTCATCAGTGGTCTCCCCAGCCGCACTGCCTCAGGATACGGCGCGGGCAGTGTCTGGGATCTGGGAACTCACGCACGCACGCACGCACGCACAGACACACACGTTTACGCACATCCAGACACGCATAAAAGATTTTTTATCACTTCTGACAAAGAAAGAGATATCTGTAATTAAGAAATACAGTTCGCTCTACCACCATGTATAGTGTAATAAAACTCACTTTTGCCCTGAACTATTATGACGTTAAAGCACATAATAGTTCAGGGCAAAAGTGAGTTTTATTACACTATACATGGTGGTAGAGCGAACTGTATTTCTTTTCTAAGATGCCAAATTTAATACTTTCTAAGGATAACTACGATAAATTTAAGGCAGAAAACAAATGACGGTAAATTAAGAATCCTCGCACAGGGCTAACTGGCGCGCTGTTCTATTGGTGTGTCTGCCCCCCTACGTTACGACGAACGTTACTAGAAAAACAAATGATAAACAGTTTGATGACGGTTTACGTTCGGGTTAAATATCTTCTCTAAATTATTTTTATTACTCTCGTGATTAACGTAAACCATGTGAACGTCGCATTTCTACTACCAACGTATGTTTAGATCAGTACATCCAGACGAAGCTGTGTAGTCAAGCGGCATTCCACGATTGCATTGTGGGAATGTAAACATTGCGAACGTTACCGTGTCGCTGAAAACTTGTGAGTCGAATTGAGACATTTAAAATGTCAGAAAACATAAACGTAATGTTTCCACCAGTGATGTTAGGTGAGTGAAGCAACTGCAAACCAAGAAACGGGATGCAACGCAGTAGTTTACTGTAGGAGGCTGTACGAGGCGATGACAACTGCCATGCATCGTGACGTTGCTTACATTGTAAAATGGTTCGATTACGAGGGGGCACACTAGAATGGCGCAGTGACGGGATAACGTCATTCAATTGTTACGTCATCAAAAAACTATACCTTTATTGTATGATAATGTTTGTTTTTTTCGATTGTTCTAAGCGCTAGGCATCTTAGAACGTGTCATAGTAAAATAAATAAGCCACATTTAACAAATAACTTTATACTCGATTCAAGACAGATACCATGAAACGTCACTACAACGCGACGTATGGTATAGACACGTTACAGTCACGTGATGCGTGGTAAACACAAGTCACTGTAACGAGACGCATGGTATAGAAACGTCACTGTAACGAGATGCATGGTATAGACACGTCACTGTAACGTGATGCATGGTATAGAAACGTCACTGTAACGAGATGCAAGGTATAGAAACGTCACTGTAACGTGGTGCGTGGTATAGAAACGTCACTGTAACGTGATGCGTGGTATAGAAACATCACTGTAACGAGATGCATGGTTCAGAAACGTCACTGTAACGTGATGTATGGTATAGAAACGTCACTGTAACGTGATGCGTTGCATAGAAACATCACTATAACGTGGTGCCAGGTATAGAAACGTCACTGTAACGAGATGCATGGTATAGAAACGTCACTGTAACGTGATGCATGGTATAGAAACGTCACTGTAACGTGATGCGTGGTATAGAAACGTCACTGTAACGTGATGCGTGGTATAGAAACGTCACTGTAACGAGATGCATGGTATAGAAACGTCACTGTAACGAGATGCATGGTATAGAAACGTCACTGTAACGTGATGCGTGGTATAGAAACGTCATAGAAACGTCACTGTAACGAGATGCATGGTATAGAAACATCACTGTAACGTGATGCATGGTATAGAAACGTCACTGTAACGTGATGCATGGTATAGAAACGTCACTGTAACGTGATGCGTGGTATAGAAACGTCACTGTAACGTGGTGCGTGGTATAGAAACGTCACTGTAACGTGATGCATGGTATAGAAACGTCACTGTAACGTGATGCATGGTATAGAAACGTCACTGTAACGTGATGCGTGGCATAGAAACGTCACTGTAACGTGATGCGTGGTATAGAAACGTCACTGTAACGTGGTGCGTGGTATAGAAACGTCACTGTAACGAGATGCGTGGTATAGAAACGTCACTGTAACGAGATGCGTGGTATAGAAACGTCACTGTAACGAGATGCATGGTATAGAAACGTCACTGTAACGAGATGCATGGTATAGAAACGTCACTGTAACGTGATGCATGGTATAGAAACGTCACTGTAACGTGATGCATGGTATAGAAACGTCACTGTAACGTGATGCATGGTATAGAAACGTCACTGTAACGTGATGCATGGTATCGAAACGTCACTGTAACGTGATGCATGGTATAGAAACGTCACTGTAACGTGATGCATGGTATAGAAACGTCACTGTAACGTGATGCATGGTATAGAAACGTCACTGTAACGTGATGCATGGTATAGAAACGTCACTGCGTAACGTGTAATGCGTGGTATAGAAACGTCACTGTAACGTGATGCATGGTATAGAAACGTCACTGTAACGTGATGCATGGTATAGAAACGTCACTGTAACGAGATGCATGGTATAGAAACGTCACTGTAACGAGATGCATGGTATAGAAACGTCACTGTAACGTGATGCATGGTATAGAAACGTCACTGTAACGTGATGCATGGTATAGAAACGTCACTGTAACGTGATGCATGCATGGTACTGAAACGTGCATGGTCACTGTAACGTGATGCATGGTATAGAAACGTCACTGTAACGTGATGCATGGTATAGAAACGTCACTGTAACGTGATGCATGGTATAGAAACGTCACTGTAACGTGATGCATGGTATAGAAACGTCACTGTAACGTGATGCGTGGTATAGAAACGTCACTGTAACGAGATGCATGGTATAGAAACGTCACTGTAACGAGATGCATGGTATAGAAACGTCACTGTAACGTGATGCGTGATGCGTGGTATCGAAACGTCACTGTCACGTGATGCATGGTATAGACAAGTCACTGTAACGTGATGCATGGTATCGAAACGTCACTGTAACGTGATGCATGGTATAGAAACGTCACTGTAACGTGATGCATGGTATAGAAACGTCACTGTCACGTGATGCATGGTATAGAAACGTCACTGTAACGTGGTGCGTGGTATAGAAACGTCACTGTAACGTGATGCATGGTATAGAAACGTCACTGTAACAGTGCGTGATCACTGTAACGTGATGCGGTATAGAAACGCGTGGTAACACAAACGTCATAGAAACGTCACTGTAACGAGACGCATGGTATAGAAACGTCACTGTAACGATGCATGGTATAGCGTCATGGTATAGAAACGTCACTGTAACGTGATGCGTGGTATAGAAACGTCACTGTAACGAGATGCATGGTATAGACAAGTCACTGTAACCTGATGCATGGTATCGAAACGTCACTGTCACGTGATGCATGGTATAGAAACGTCACTGTAACGTGATGCATGGTATCGAAACGTCACTGTCACGTGATGCATGGTATAGACAAGTCACTGTAACGTGATGCATGGTATCGAAACGTCACTGTCACGTGATGCATGGTATAGAAACGTCACTGTCACGTGATGCATGGTATCGAAACGTCACTGTCACGTGATGCATGGTATAGAAACGTCACTGTAACGTGGTGCGTGGTATAGAAACGTCACTGTAACGTGATGCATGGTATAGAAACGTCACAGTCACGTGATGCGTGGTAAACACAAGTCACTGTAACGAGACGCATGGTATAGAAACGTCACTGTAACGAGATGCATGGTATACACAAGTCACTGTAACGTGGTGCGTGGTATAGAAACGTCACTGTAACGAGATGCATGGTATAGAAACGTCACTGTAACGTGATGCATGGTATAGAAACGTCACTGTAACGTGATGCATGGTATAGAAACGTCACTGTAACGTGGTGCGTGGTATAGAAACGTCACTGTAACGTGATGCATGGTATAGAAACGTCACTGTAACGTGATGCATGGTATAGAAACGTCACTGTAACGTGATGCATGGTATAGAAACGTCACTGTAACGTGATGCGTGGTATAGAAACGTCACTGTAACGTGATGCGTGGTATAGAAACGTCACTGTAACGTGATGCGTGGTATAGAAACGTCACTGTAACGAGATGCGTGGTATAGAAACGTCACTGTAACGAGATGCATGGTATAGAAACGTCACTGTAACGTGATGCATGGTATCGAAACGTCACTGTCACGTGATGCATGGTATGCATGAAAGTCACTGTCACGTGATGCATGGTATAGAAACGTCACTGTAACGTGATGCATGGTATAGAAACGTCACTGTAACGTGATGCATGGTGCATGGTATGATGAAACGTCACTGTCACGTGATGCATGGTATAGAAACGTCACTGTAACGTGATGCATGGTATAGAAACGTCACTGTAACGTGATGCATGGTAAACGTACTGTAACGACGGTATACACACTATAGAAACGTCACTGTCACGTGATGCGTGGTATAGAAACGT